TGTACCTACCAGCCATTTGTTACATATGGCTTTGTAACAATTAAGTTTATATACATATGATTTTTTTATTGTTGGTATTCTAAAAGTGTCATGTTATATAATAGATATGCGTCCAATCTCCGATATTAAATAGATGTTTTATTTAAACCAGTTGAAACATGAAAACGTTAAATGTTTTACTAAAGATGTTAGCTAATACATCGGACCAAAAAATAATCTTTGTGGAGAGAGTGTCTTTCATCTCTATAAACCATTTAAGGCAATTGTCTTTGAATGATAAAAGAATAATGAATTTCTAAAGAGTGAAAGAGATAATTTGGTTTGTATTAAAAAAGAAAAAAAAAAGCAATTCAGTTTTATTAGTATGAATAAAGTTTCCCAAATTTAAAACAAATTGAAATCAAGTTTGTATAAAACAAATAAAACCGAAAACTGAAAAAAAAAAAAAACTATGAGCTGGATTATCTAACAGGAATGTAAAATAAAATATCTATAAATTAATAATGTTTTCAAATTTTATTAATTTATAAATTTATTAATTAATCGATAAATTAATAATTATTTTTGGCTTAAATTCTTAATGTTTGTCAAAAACAAAAATTTATATTTTCAACAATATAAATTTCATTCAAAAAATATTATAATAATAAATTTAGAAAATAAAGCAAATGAAATTTATAAACATGAAACAATAATATAATCATATTATATTATTTATATATGTCTAAATATATAATTATTAATTTACAGAATTATTAGACCATATTTTTATATAAAAAATTCAAAAAATATTATCTTATTATATTATTAAAATTTTCTAATTTTTACACAATTCAACTGGAGAAAAACAAAATTTATTAATTTTAAATATTAATTTATAAATATTTTACTGTATATTTTAACAATTTTGGTCCAGGCTAAATATATTTTTGTCAAAATACTTTTCATATAGTTTTAATACCCACACACTTAGAGATCTAAAAATGACCCTATAAATATAAACATCATTCCCAAAAAAGAATACATTTTACTCAAGAACAAAAAGATATAAAATACATTTTACCCGACAAATACAAACATTCCAAAGTTTTGATTCATATGATCCTACACTGTCAGGTACTTCAGAACCGAAGCACGTACTTTCTCCATGTAATCCCCTGCTTCTTTCTGCAAAAATAACATCTGAATTTATAAGACGAACAACACTTACTAATCTGGTAAAGAATCAAAGATTGAGATCATAAATCAATTCAATGAGAGGTTTTAGCTTCAGTTACGATTTAAGATTCAACAAGTAACCGTGACTAACCTGGTTTCCACTGTATGCATTTGCTATGTTTTCGTCGAGAAGTGTCAACAAAGATCTGTTGATCTCGTTTTTCTCCACCATATCCAACAACTAAAACATAACAGAGTCAAAACAAAGTCTCAAGATCCATCTCAAGAAGCATCATCATGGTTTAAGATCACATACTGTCGCTTTTATATCGGTTGAGGTCAAGATCTTTGTTAAGCTATTTGTAGCCGTCATAAGCTCGTTTTGCATTTTGTCATAAGCCTCTGCAAAAAAACAACATAACAATAGTTTTGAGTCCAAGAGTCATCAGGAACTTGATTAAGAAGAAAAAGACGCGCGCAAAAACCTATTCCTTCTTCTAAGGCTTTTTGAAGTGATTCAAGCTCAATCAATCTGTCTTCACTTTCCTGCATGATTTTGACCGGAAAACAAGATTAGTTAAGTGATCGATTCCTATGTTGTTCGAAGAAAAATCGTACCGCGGTCTTTGTAACAGCGAACCGGATTTGTCCGATTTCAAGTCGAATTTGCGCAAAGAACTCGTCGGTTAACCTGAAAAATTTACAGTAATCACATGAGATAGTGTTAACACATTGTTTCTGTCTCCTAATAAACCAACCAAACACATTTACATCACCAAAACTTAATCATTGAGGCAATTCATCGAACAAGTGGTGTGCACATTCAAATCAAAAACACTTCTTCACCAACCTTCCTCGAAGCCTAGCGATTTCGTACTCAATCTCTTGAGCTTCCGTATCAAGAAAGTACTCGATCAGCTCCGCCGCAGTATCTGGAACAACTCTAGACTGAGAAAACCCAGAAAACAAAAAGCAAAATCAGTGAACGAACCATCGATATAATTTCGAAAAACCCAAATTAAGTATAATCGCAATTTTTTACTTGTCTAAGAGCTTGACGACGCTCTCTCTCTTCGCGGATTTGTTTCTGAAAAGCCTCTTTTGCCTCCGAATCTCTCTCTAGCCGGCGTTTGAACTCAAGGCGAGCGATATGACCGGTTTGCGCCGGACCTAAGATACCTTTCGGATCCTTCCTTAAGATTAACATGAAAATTTTCAGCCAAAATCAAAAAAGCAAGAGTAAAATTTCGTAACGAAGCAAATTGGATTATGATCAATCTTTTACCCATTCGCAAGAGATTTTGCTCCTCCGTGTATTGATTCTTGGGATTGTACGGACGGTGTTCGCGACGGCGATTCCGATTGAGAGCGAAGCCATTGGGATTGGGTTTTTGACTTTTTTCTTCTTTTTTCCTTCTGTGAGCTCTGCTTTTACTTGCTACGTTATCTTTTAACTTATCTGTTATAATGGCGGGAGTATTTCTGACCGTTGAATTATGACTGGTGAGTAGAGGCGTTCGATTAGATCACAACCGTTGATATGTTTTGATCTGACGATCATATTTCGTCCACGGTATAATGAGAAGGCTCGCTTTTCATTTTGTGCAAAGGCCCAATTAGCCTAAACCTTTGGCGGCCTTTTCTACGGCCCGTATGATGAATATGCAACGGTTGTTTGCGCAAGCCTATGTCCAATTCCCATGTCCATTTCTCTTATGAGTGATATTGACCGCTTTGGGCTTAAATGTCCAATTCCCATGTCCAATTCATACTAATTAGAGTTGGACATTATTTATATATTAGATTATTATTGTTTAATCTTCTGATGTGAGATTTAGATTGATATCTCAATAATCCATCTTCAAGTCAAGGACCATACAAGTCCTTTTTGCTTCCAACTTTCTATGAAACTTGACACCCATCTTATACCATCTTGTACTGAGACACCTTTAATCGCAAGATAACCTTGAGGATTCTCCCACAACGAACAAGCAGACCCAACCTACTTTCCAAGATTTTCTTTTTCTGAACTTTGGTTCTAGACTTTTCAAGTCCATGTCCAACTCTCTTATTAGTATGATATTGTCCGCTTTGGACTTAAGTGATAAAGCCCGCACGGATCTGTTTTTGAGTTCCTCCTAAAAAACCTCATACTAATCAGAGTTGTATATTACTTATATATTAAACTATTATTGTCTAATTTTTTGATGTGAAATTTGGATTGATATCCTAATAACAGTTTGGTTTTGGTTGGTGATTTGTCAGGATGATTTATATTAAAAAGTCAAAATATGTTGACTCATTGTGTTTTGGATAGTCATATACCACGAAACGAAACAGTTAGTTATCGTTAGTTGTTGGTCGAATTTGTTGATAACATATACGAAGAAAAAAGCTAAAGATTTATTTATAATCAATCGACCCCATATTCATAACGATCTAAGCACCAATACCCCAAAAAAAAAAAAAAATTAGCAGATCCAGAACCATAATAAAAACCACGATCCATGCCAGCGCGATGGATATATATACTAATTGTATACAGCGATAAAACAACAACAAAAATAGGCATAAAATAATGCATGCATGTGTTGATGGTTGTACATTCATAAAATAATGCATGCATATGTTGATTGTTGTTACACCATATAATAATTTTAGTCAATTCATATACCATATATGATCGCTCACATGTGAGCATTTCCGCATGACTGCGTGTATATATATATATATATATATTTAAATTATTAAATTAGTGAATAATTTGATACTAACTAAGGCTAGGTCCACATATAATTATGTATATATATATTTAAATTAGTGAATAATTTGATAGTAACTAAGGCTAGGTCCACATTAGGTGATAGATTAGTCTTTGTGGGCAAAGTCTTTCTGGAAGACTCGTCAGAATATAATTCCCAATTCTGTAACTGCGGTGCAAGTAAAGTATCAAAATAATTTATCATGTTTGTTTAAATATAGCCTAGAAAGGCAGTAAAGGGAGTAAATTAAATTATAAAGTGCGATGTTCAAAACACACTACAGTTTTAAAAAAATATTAAATGATCATATCAGATTGGAGATTGGACTGTGGATGAATGGGTTTTACAAAAATCAACCAAAATCATTAGTTACTGATAGTATAGTAAACAAAGTAGGATAATAATTTGCAACAATAATGACGAGTTTGGTTTGATCTTTACATACCAGACTTTCTGACCCGAAAACTTGGGAGTAAATTTTATTAACATTCCTATTTTAATTTGGTTGATTTTGGATGTAGAAAAGAAGTTTGATTTTTCTTTTTCTGCCAGCCAAGCAAAAGAAGTTTGATTAATCAAGAAGAATTAAGTTTGTTGGAAAATTTAAAAATATTGAAAGAGTGAGACCGTGTCAAAAAAAGAAATTGGCTAGGTAACAGATACTTGAAAAAGGTATTTTGAAATAAAACTTTAAAACATACTTTTTATATAATTCCAAAGATCCGTGAATACATCAACTTTTTTTACCGGACGTCAATATATTTCTTTTGTTTTTGCAAATCAATAATTTATTAATTATGCGAAGTAACGTCAATCCAGGCGAGACAAACAATCAATATACAAATTTACATCAAATGACAGTTAAATAAACATCATTTTCGATAAAAAAAACAAATTAATTACATTAAGTGGAGATAACCTTCTCAAGGAAACGAAAAAAGACATAACAATTAAATAATGCTGAAAAAGACTAAAAAATGCGAAGGGTTTCTTAAGCAAGTTTTAAGTATTTATAACCACAAAACCAAAAGCCACAAGTAATCCCCTCAAAAACAAAATTACTAAAGAGAAGAAGAAGAAATGACGCGTTTCTCGACGGCGACGATGATGATCTTCGCGGCGGCGATGACGGCGATAGCTTTGATATCGTTACCGGAGGCGGAAGCGCAAGCGGCTACGACGTGCGTGAACAAGCTAGTCCCCTGCTTCAATGCCCTGAACACGACGACGAGGCCTCCGAAAGATTGTTGCGACTCGATCAAGGAAGCGGTGGAGAAAGAGCTTACCTGTCTCTGCACTATCTACACCACTCCTGGTTTGCTCTCTCAGTTCAACGTCAATGCTTCTCAAGCTCTCGATATCAGCCGTCGATGCGACGTCGACACTGATCTCTCCGCCTGTTCCGGTAATTTCTGACTTTTTTTTTATTTTATTTTTCTCCAGATCTCTCCGATTAGGGATTTTGAATTTGGGGGTTTTTGCCTACGGATCTGTTTGTTCAGATGCAGAATTTGAATTTGGTCTATTTTGAATCTTACTCGTTGAGATTATGAATGTGAGATTTTTGATTTTGATATTAATTATACAAATAAATGTTTTTTTGTTTATATTTTCAGCTTCTGGAGCTCCATCGCCAAAAGCTTCTTTACCTCCTCCAGGTATAAAACCAACCTTCACCTACTCCTAGCATTTATTTTTGTTTAAGATACTTTAAGATATCATTTTTAAAAAAATCTTGTTCAAGGAAATATTAAATCGATCTTTTAATTTTTCCCAGATTTCTCTCTTTTTTTTTTGTCGATAAACTTTTTTTTGTTAGCTTCTGTAAAGCTGGAAGTGTGAATGCCAGCTTTCTCTTGTACTTTCGTGTATGCCTGAGATATTGACTTTGAACAAAATGGACGAAATAATAATTTTTCATTTTTTTTCATTTTTATTAGTCTGAATTAACGGTTCTTTTGCTATATCGAATTCTAATTTCAGCAGGAAATAAAGGAAAAGACGCAGGAGCTGGGAACAAGCTCGCCGGTTATGGAGTAACCACTGTGATCTTGTCTTTGGTTTCGACGGTTTTCTTTTGAAAACACTCTACCGAAATCATCTGGTTTTCTGGTTTTTAATTCGGTTTGTTATTATTAGTTTAATAATTTTCAGGATTGTTTGTTTTTTGCTCAACTTATTATTATATAATAAGAATAAGATAAAGCTTTTTTTCTTGTTTAGTAACGTTTACGGGTCTAAACCGGACATTGTTATTTGTATCAGTTTGTCTTGATTCCAGTAATGTTCTCTGAATTTTTGTAGGTTTAATCAATACAGAAATCGGAAACTAAAATGTTCTTGTTTTTGCAAGATGAAAATTGAAAATACACAAAATGTTTCTTTCGAAAATTGCAAAAGAAAAGTGAAAAAATGAAAAATAACTAAAGGCAAAAAGTTTGCCGGTTTGCCCCCACCAAAAGATTATAAACAAATGTAAATAAACCACAAACCGGTAGGCTCAATAGGTTAGTAAAGAATTTACCAAACCGGTCTCAGGAGTCTCTCTCAGTGGTAAAAGGAACAGAGACACTGTTCATATGCTTTTAGGGGTTACTGAATTTCTCAGAGCGATAGGCATAGAGAGTGTGAAGAAACTGGCTTCTTCATCACCTGAAGCCAAATCGAGAGGATGAGGTTTGCGTTTGCGTTTGCGTCGACGAGAAGGAGATTTGTACATCGGAATGTTCTCGGTAAAGGTGATCTCCGAACTGCTCTTCCCTCGATTTCCATTTGCGGTTTCCGTGGCTGGAGACGAGCTTTCTCAGGTCTCAGTGAAGATTCCAGAGAGAGATTGAGAAATGGGCTTCGTGATATAAAGCTAGACGATGCCGTTGATTTGTTCGGTGAGATGGTAAAGTCTCGTCCTTTTCCTTCCATTATCGAGTTCAATAAATTGTTGAGCGCCGTTGCGAAGATGAAGGAGTTTGATGTTGTGGTATCTCTCGGCGAGCAGATGCAAATGTTAGGGATTGCACATAATCTGTATACTTACAGTATTTTGATTAACTGTTTCTGCCGCCGCTCTGAGCTCTCTTTTGCTTTAGCAATTCTTGGGAAGATGATGAAACTCGGCTATGAGCCTGATATTGTCACGCTTAACTCGCTTCTTAATGGTTTCTGTCGTCACGGTAAGAGGATTTCTGATGCCGTAGCTTTGGTTGATCAAATGGTTGAAATGGGATATCAACCCAACTCCGTCACATTCACAACTCTGATCCATGGCCTTTTTCTCCACAACAGAGTCTCTGAAGCAGTGGCTTTAGTTGATCGGATGGTGCTGAAAGGGTGCCAACCAGATCTGGTTACTTACGGTGTGTTAGTAAATGGAGTATGTAAGAGAGGTCATACTGATTTGGCTTTGAATCTGCTCAAGAAGATGGAATCGGAAAAGATAGAGGCTGATGTTGTGATCTACAGCACAGTTATTGATGGTCTGTGCAAATACAAACATGTGGATGATGCACTCGACCTATTCAGTGAAATGGAGAAAAAGGGATTTAGACCAAATGTTGTCACCTACAACTCCCTCATAAGTTGCCTTTGTAACTATGGAAGATGGAGCGATGCCTCCGGACTACTAAGCGATATGATTGAGAGGAACATCAACCCCGATGTGGTCACTTTTAGTGCATTGATAGATGCGTTTGTGAAAGAGGGAAAACTTTTGGAGGCCGAGAGATTGTACGAGGAGATGATCCGAAGGTCTATCAATCCTAATACAGTCACTTACAATTCACTGATTAATGGGTTTTGCATGCAGAGTCGCCTAGATGAGGCCAAACAGATGTTTGATTTGATGGTTAGCAAGGGTTGTCTCCCAAATTCAGTGACATATGGTACTCTCATAAATGGATTTTGCAAAGCGAAGAGGGTAGAGGATGGCATGAAACTCTTTCGTGAGATGTCTCAAATAGGATTGGTTGGAAACACAGTCACTTACACCACTCTTATTCAAGGCTTTTACGAAGCTGGAGATTGTGAGAATGCCCAACAAGTTTTCAAAGAGATGGTTTCTGCTGGTGTCCCTCCTAATATTGTGACGTACAACATTTCGTTAGATGGGCTTTGCAATAACGGGAAGCTAGAGAAGGCATTGGCCGTATTCCAAGATATGCAAAAGAGTGTAATGGAACTCAGTATATTCACTTATACTATTATGATTGAAGGGATGTGCAAGGCTGGTAAAGTGGAAGATGCTTGGGATTTATTCAATAGTCTCAGCCTCAAAGGAGTGATGAAGCCTGATGTTGTGACCTACACTACAATGATCTCTGGCTTTTGCGGGAAAGGCTTAAAGCAAGAAGCCGATGCCTTGTTCAGAGAAATGAAAGAAGATGGGCCTCTCCCAGACAGCGGTACCTATAATACACTGATCAGGGCACGCCTTAGAGATGGTGACAGAGCAGAATCAGCAGAACTCATCAAGGAAATGAGGAGTTGTGGATTCTCAGGAGACGCTTCGACGATAAGTTTGGTCGGGAATATGATGTGTGATGGGAGATTAGACAAAAGCTTTCTGGACATGCTCTCTTGGAACCCTCTTCCATCAAAAGCATCTGTGAGGTGAATTAAGTTAATGTATGTTGCCTAATTGGAGTGATTACTTCTCAACATTTGGTACTTTAATGATCGGAGATACCCAGTAAATTAGTCTTTAAGGTCTACTTTAACATTTGGTACTTTATGGGTTTCAATTTTTTGGTGGAAGATGAGATTTTTATTAGCAATATCACTAACCTGATCTTGTTGATCGATCCGTAGATTTAAAAGAAATGGGTAAGTAATTCAGAGAAAACTGTTGCGGTAAAGCAAGTTTCTCCATGATGGTTTCAAAGTGTTGACAGTAGATGAGAAGAATAATGTGTTTGGATTAGTGAATGTTACTCTAAAACCAGTGCACTTGTTATTCATATCAGTGGAAGTCACCTTAGAGGAATTGAGAACCGGTCTAAACATGTTTTTAACATCATTCTCTGCTATTTAGATGCTGAGAAAAGCTTATATATTGTTTTCGTTTAGTCTCTCAGACTAACAGATTTAGAGGTCACAGTCCTCATTTTTGTTGGTTTAACAATCCATAAAAAAAAACAAAATTTTATATATATATAACAATAACACAAAAGTCTCTCCATAGCTTGACATCTCAGCTTTTTAAAGTTTTATAAACATGACAACTCAGCAAAAATAATCACCAATCAAAACATTTTATTAATACATCTCATCTACTTATTTTAAATTTTAAATTTAAACCCATTAAAAACCCAAATATTTTTTCTATTGATTTTTTGTTTTATTTTTTACCAAACCCAAGCTCAAATAATTAATAACAGTAAATAAAAAATCATTATTTTACTTTTTACCAAATCCAGACCCAAATAATAAATAAAAAAAATTAAATCATTATTTTTTTTTGCCAAAACCAAATCCAAATAATAAATAATAACAAATAAATAATTAAAAAATTATAGCTATCTGTTTGTTTGACATAAACGTATATGATTGAAAAAGTGTAGGCTCAGCATCAACTATGCTTCCATGACAACAACGCAAAAAGCCTTATGTTATAAGAAGCTCACACATCAGCAAAAAATTTAACCGATAAAAACATAACAATTTCTTAGTTTTCGCTGGAAAACATAATTTTATGGGAGATAATGCAATTTTTTAGTTTTCACGTGAAATTGTAGTTTATTTGTTTCTGTAGGAAAGCGTGATTCAGGGCTTGACGAGAAAACGGTTTTTTTTTTATTTTGCAGGAATAGACGATTTCTCAGTTTTCGCAGGAAAAATAAATTTTTCGATTATGGCGGGAAAATACAACTTTTTGGTTTTTGCAGAAGATGAAATTTTTTGGTTTTTGTGAAAAAACGTAATTTCTCGGCTTTGGTGGAAAAACACAGGTTCTCGCGGGAAAATGAAATTTTAGGTTTTAGGTTTGACGAGAAAATGAATTTTTTGGTTTTGGTGGGAATAGGCGATTTCTCAGTTTAATGGGAAAACGAAGTTTTTTTGTTCTTACGGGAAATGCGATTTCTCGATTTTTGTAAGAAGATGAAATTTCTATGTGCTAAATTTCTAAGTTAAAGTATGTTTACAGTAACCAAAATTTAATTATTTAACTTTAAATAAAACGATATTTTAAGAATTCAAACATAATTTTCTATTTAGTTCTAAAGCAATAGCAATAGTTTTGATATGAATGTTATTGATTATAATTTGGTAGTTTTAGAAACATATGTTTATAATAAAACATTTGATAAATAAATAAATTTTATAATTCAAAATAATCATATTAATTAATAAATCTTTTTTTAAATGGCATTTTGCTTTATATAATTACAAAAGAGGATCAAATGGTAATTTAGTGGAGAAAATAAATTACATTTGCCATTAGCATGAAGATTAAAAATATATTGCTTTATTCTTATATATGTTATTCCTATATATACATTTATAATTAGTTAGCTAACTAAATTTAATAGTAAATTATAATTTTGAAAAAAAATAATAAAAAATATATAATGTTTATTCAGATTTAAAACATATAAATACATAGTTTAAGCTAATAAAAAATAAATATAATACTCATTTACATTATAAAAATAATTTTATTATATTAAAAATATATACAAAATTTAGAAAAATATCCCGCAGCATAGCGCGGATAAATACCTAGTTAATGTAAATGAAGTAAGATATTCATAAAACAAAGAAGAGAATCGCTTAGATTAAGCGATGGGTAATTGCAGCATGTATAGCATCAGCGAGTTGAGGAACTGTCTTCGAACTTAAACCTGCAGTCTGCAGCTGGTGTTGGCAACAATGTCGTGATTTTTACTGTATAAAAAAAACAAATTATAAGTTTTCTTTAAATCTTCAACATAGTCATGGATTTAATCTCAGTCCTTGAAAGTATTAAATCTTTGTGTTTAATGTAAATATAATTATTCAATTTTGTGATGTATGTTATCAACAAAAACCCAAAATTTTTTGAATCCAGATTGAATTATGATTTTTGATTCTTTATCCAACATGAAAATGTTCTTGTTGGAGATAACAAAGGTGGAAGAGAAAGCAAAGGGTTATATTTTTATGTGTAATGCGTAAATGTGGATAGTCATGTGTGGATATTCATATGTAGATAATTCCTGACATTTGCGATATAATTAGTTATTGCTATTTGATATTAAAAACTTTCATAATATTTATAAACTTGACGATGTTATGTTGTAATGCAATCAATGAAAAAAATAATAACAAGAGAAACTTTCACATATGAATCTAATCAAGTAAAGTAACATATGAATTCGATTTGATATTTTGATATATACGTATAGATATCGAGGTATGGACACATTTACATAGACAACTAAGATAAAAAAAAAAGGTAATATCTGAACCCTATTCGACACTTCAATATCGATATTGGTGTTATATTTACATATAGATATACAATAAATCAATACTATAATGGACATGATAATATGAATAATATTATTATAGACATATCAACATAAATACATATTTAACACAAAAAGAAATTTGAACTAAAGCCATCTACACTTCGATTTATCTGTAATCATGGTTGACTTAAGTTCAACCTAAAACCAATATCTAAAGTCAACTAAATTGATGGAGATTATATATGGCATCGAATCTAAATTAGTAAATCATCAATTTTCTAGTTTATTATTCACTACACTCACACAAATTTTATCCATACACTATTATCTATAATTAACAATTCATCATGCACAAATATCAGCCACCAAGCATAATCCATAACTCATATATCCATACATTAATGTCCACATCGTTTCATCCACACACATACACACATGCTTATTCACAACATCAAGTTGTAACCAAACCATCTTAACCGATGGATGTCTCATCTTCCATGGCGTAGATTGAGCAATTTCCAAAAATTGTAAAAAAGTAAATTTGGGTTTGGTAAGGTTTTGAGATTAATCAGTCAATGGAATCAAAAGAGGACTAGTATTTATGTTCTAAATCTAAATCTTAGAATGGATAGAGGCGTTAAAAACTGAAGGACAAACAGAAGAACAAACATCAATTATGAATATCAGCAACAAATATCGATATTGAACACTTGCAACGAACACTAAAGAAAAAATTATCAAAGGAAAAGAGGAAAGAAAATAAATTAAATAATGTGACTCCAATCACCAGGTGTAAGTGTGCGTGTAAATAAATTAAATTAAAACATCCCAATCTGTTTAAAATAATGTGACTCCAATCACCAGGTGTGCCTACAAGAACAAAATGTGAGACCACCTCCATCCATATGGGTTCTTAAAATTTAAGAAGATTGCTACAAATGTATTTAAAAATAAATAATAATATAATATTATATAAAATTCTTAAAATTAACAAATTAATATTCTTATTTTAAAACTCTCTTTCTTCGTTTTAAGAACCATATACTTATTTATTAATATTTCTTTTATTTAAAACTCTATTTTAAGAACTCCATAATTATACCAATGGAAGTGTTCTGATAAATCATAACTAATCATCCACATATATATGAAAATATTTTCAAAAGTAATTGAGGAAAAAAAAAGTGCATTAAACTAAACCTCTAGCTTGTATAGCAAAGAAAAAGTGAAAAATAAATTCATATGTCAGATAGTATTCTGTCGGTTTATTTTTAAACAACATGAAAAAAAAAATGCAAATAGTTTGCTGGCAGCAAAAGATTATTAACAAAAATAAATAAACCACAAACCGGTAAGCTCAATAGGCTAATAAAAGAATTCACTAAACCGGTTTCAGGAGTCTCTCTTAGCAGTGGTTGAGGAACACACTCTGTTCATGTGCTTTTAGGGGTTACTGAAATTCTCAGAGCGATAGGCATAAAGATTGAGAAGAAACCCGATCACCTGAAGCCAGATCGAGAGGATGAGGTTTGCGTTTGCGTCGACGAGAAGGAGATTTGTACATCGGAATCTTCTCGAAAAAGGTGATTCTCGAATTGCTCGTCCCTCAATTTCCGTTTGCGGTTTCCGTTGCTGGAGACGAGCTTTCTCAGGTCTCAGTGATGATTCCAGAGAGAGATTGAGAAACGGGCTTCGGGATATTAAGCTAGACGATGCCGTTGATTTGTTCGGTGAGATGGTAAAGTCTCGTCCACGACCTTCCATTGTTGATTTCAGTAAATTGTTGAGCGCCATCGCCAAGATGAAGAAGTTTGATGTCGTTATCTCTCTCGGCGAGAAGATGCAAATGTTAGGGATTCCACATAATCACTATACTTACAGTATTTTGATTAACTGTTTCTGCCGCCGCTCTGAGCTCTCTTTTGCTTTAGCAATTCTTGGAAAGATGATGAAACTCGGATATAAGCCTGACATTGTCACGCTTAACTCGCTTCTCAATGGTTTCTGTCGTCACGGTAAGAGGATTTCTGATGCCGTAGCTTTGGTTGATCAAATGGTGGAAATGGGATATCAACCCAACACCGTCACATTCAATACCCTTATCCATGGCCTGTTTCTCCACAACAGAGTCTCTGAAGCAGTGGCTTTAGTTGATCGGATGGTGCTGAAAGGGTATCAACCAGATCTGATTACTTACGGTGCGGTAATAAACGGAGTATGTAAGAGAGGTCATACTGATTTGGCTTTGAATCTGCTCAAGAAGATGGAAGCGGACAAAATAGAGGCTGATGTTGTGATCTACAGCACTATTATGGATGGTCTCTGCAAACACAAACATGTGAATGACGCAGTCGACCTATTCAGTGAGATGGAGAGCAAAGGGATTAGACCTGATGTTTATACCTACAGCTCACTCATAAGCTGCCTTTGTAATTACGGAAGATGGAGCGATGCCTCTCGACTACTAAGTGACATGATCGAGAAGAATACCAACCCTGACATTGTTACTTTCAATGCCTTGATCGACGCTTTTGTGAAAGAGGGAAAACTTTTGGAGGCTGAGAAATTGTATGAGGAGATGATTGGAAGGTCTATAGCTCCTAATACTATCACTTACAATTCATTGATCAATGGATTTTGTTTGCAAAATCGTCTAGAGGAGGCCAAGCAGATGTTTGCTTTAATGGTTAGCAAAGATTGTCTCCCAAACGTGGTGACTTATTCTACTCTTATCAATGCATTTTGCAAGTCTAAGAAGGTCGAAGATGCTGTGGAACTCTTCCGAGAGATGACTCAAAGAGGATTATTTGGCAACACAATCACTTACAACACTCTTATCAAAGGGTTTTTCGAATCTGGAGACTGTGAGAATGCCCAACAAGTTTTCAAACAGATGGTTTCTGGTGGTGTCACTCCTGATACTATGACTTGCAACATTCTGTTGGATGGGTTTTGTAAAAATGGGAAGCTCGAGAAAGCACTGGTCATATTCAAGGATCTGCAGCAAAAGACTGAGATGGAACTCAGTATTGTCACATATAATATTATGATTGAAGGGATGTGCAAGGCTGGTAAAGTGGAAGATGCTTGGGATTTATTTAACAGCCTCAGGCTCAAAGGAGTGATGAAGCCTGATATTGTGACATACAATACAATGATTTCAGGATTTTGTGGGAAAGGCTTAAAGGAGGAAGCGGATGCCTTATTAACAAAAATGAAAGAAGATGGGCCTCTCCCAAGTAGCGGTACCTATAATACGTTGATCAGGGCACGCCTCAGAGATGGTGACAAAGACGCATCAGCCGAACTCATCAAGGAAATGAGAAGCCGTGGCTTCTGTGGGGACGCTTCAACGATAAGTTTGGTCGGGAATATGTTGTATGATGGGAGATTACACAAAAGCTTTCTGGACATGCTTTCTTAAACAGTTTGTCCCTTAGAGGGCTTGTTGAGCATGCAACCCTGTTCCGATTGAAAGCAGCAACTTGTGAGGTAAATCAACGTTTTCTATTAATTGGTCACTGATATATTGTATGATGGGAGATAAGACAAAAGTTCTCTGGACATGCTTTCTATAAGCAAAATCCTTGAGGTGAATCTAATTTTTTTTATGTTGCATTTTCTTCTGATTACTTCTCAACGCAGTTCTTATGTTGACATGTTATGGTTGCTGCTGGGTCTTAACTTATGACTGATACTGTTTTTGTGTATTTCCTTGCGAACACTCTTTTTTTTTTAACACAAGATGAGTAGTGTGAGTGTCAGTGGTTCTACTTTAGATTTGGTTTTAACCCAAACGTATTTTTCTAATCTCTAAATTTAAATGATTTGTTAGACAAATTTGTTGTTCTTTTTGGTTCAAACAAATAACTTCATTTGTTTTTTTACACTCCGTAAACAAATCTTTTGAATTTGTGTTTCCTTGTAGAAATCTAAACTCAAACATACTTCCGAAGACATTGTTTTTGTTTTTATTTTTACAACACATATGAGACATTGTTAAACGTGACCATCTCCTCGTGAGTCGTGATATTTATGACATAGAAAACTTTGTTAGATGATCGTTGTAGTAACGGAAGCATTGTTCATAATGTCAGGATCTGCAAAATAGTGAAGTGGAACTTGATATGATTACATAACTCAACCATGTAAGTTGAGTCAGATGCGGTGAATAACTCAAAGAGAGTTATTGTTTCAAGAAAGGTGAGAGATTGAGATGAGTCTTGAGTTTTTTCTTGAATCTTTGTTTTTTGGTTTCTTGTTTATATGATTCTCAATGTGATGAAACCATTTAATTGCAGGAGTAGAGAAGGTAGATTATCTAAAATCAAGACTGTCTTTGCGATTTCTTTTGTTCCCTTTGTCTCTTTAGTTCAGAGGTTTCAGACTGGAGGAAACTGAATACAAGATCTCATGATTTAGCAAGAAATTCAATTTCGTAATCAGTCGATTTCTGTCTCCTGAAGTTTTTGATCAGTTTCATTTGGTGAGTACTGATAGATCTTTGACACAGTTCTAGAAAGAGACAAATTTTAATACCAGAAACTGAACCGAGTTTTGGACCGAACCGAGATTAGAACACACCATAAACCAGTTTAAGAAATTGAAAGTTAACTGCACTGTTCAAAGGAATAAGTGAAAATTGAGTTTCAGTTACTGTCATTTTCTTTTAAAAAAACATGAAAAATAAATGACCGAAAATAAGTGAAAATTGAATTTCAGTTTCATCTGGTGAGTACTGAGATCTTTGACACAGTTCTAGAAAGAGACAAATGCTAATACCAGAAACTGAACCGAGTTTTAGACCGAACCGAGACTAGAAGAAATCATAAACCAGTTTTAGAAATTGAAAGTTAACTGCACTGTACAAACGAATAAGTGAAAATTGAATTTCATTTACTGGCATTTTCTTTTTAAAAAAACATGAAAAAAAAGAAATAAACGCAAATGATACGCTAAGAGCATCTGCATTGCATAGAAACTGATTTGAATCTCTTATGTAATATAATATTAATATTTTAAATGTAATTTAATTAAATAATTAAATTTTAATTTATAAAAAAAGTTAAATCAATTATGAAATAACATATGTATGTGTGTTTGAAAGTCTCTCATGAATTTCTCAAAATTCTGTCTTTTTCGTTTTATTTTTTTATTTATTTTTAGTGGTAAGAGACTCCAACTATAGATGTCTAAACCCCACTAAAATGATTTATAAACAAAAATAAGTCACAAACCGGTAAGTAAGCTCAATACGCTAAGAAATTTACTAAACCGGTTTGAGGAGTCTCACTCTCAGTCTCAGTGGTTTTAGGGATAACTGAATTTTACGGAGAGTGAGAAGGAGCCCGATGACCTGAAGCCAAATCGAGGAGATGAAGTTTGCGTTTGCGTCGACGAGAAGGAGATTTGTGCACCGGAATCTTCTCGAAAAAGGAAATCCTCCCTCGACTTTCGTTTGCGGTTTCCGTTGCTGGAGACGAGCTTTCTCTGGTGCTAGTTATGATTACAGAGAGAAGATTAGAGGTGGGTTTCTACATGATATTAAGCTAGACGATGCCGTTGATCTCTTCGGTGAGATGGTCAAGTCTCGTCCTCGAGCTTCCATTGTTGATTTCAGTAGATTGTTGAGTGCAATTGCCAAGATGAAGAAGTTTGATCTTGTCATCTCTCTCGGCGAGCAGATGCAAATGTTAGGGATTGCACATAATGACTATACTTACAGTATTTTGATTAACTGTTTCTGCCGCCGCTCGCAACTCCCTCTTGCTTTATCTTTGCTTGGGAAGATGATGAAACTCGGGTATGAGCCTGATATTGTCACGCTTAACTCGCTTCTCAATGGTTTCTGTCGTCACGGTAAGAGGATCTCTGATGCCGTAGCTTTGGTTGATCAAATGGTGGAAATAGGATATCAACCCAACACCGTCACATTCAACACTCTGATCCATGGCCTTTTTCTCCACAACAAAGTCTCCGAAGCTGTGGCTTTAGTTGATCGGATGGTGCTGAAAGGGTGCCAACCAAGTTTAGTTACTTACGGTGTGGTAGTAAACGGAGTGTGTAAGAGAGGCCATACTGATTTGGCTTTGAATCTGCTCAAGAAGATGGAAGCGGACAAAATAGAGGCTGGTGTTGTGATCTACAGCACTATTATTGATGGTCTCTGCAAATACAAACATGTGGATGATGCACTCGACCTATTCAGTGAAACGGAGAAAAGGGGAATTAGACCGGATGTTGTCACCTACAGCTCCCTCATAAGTTGCCTTTGTAACTATGGAAGATGGAGCGACGCGTCTCGACTACTAAGCGATATGATTGAGAGGAACATAAACCCCAACGTAGTTACGTTAAATGCATTGATAGATGCGTTTGTAAAAGAGGGGAAACTTTTGGAGGCCGAGAGATTGTACGAGGAGATGATCAGAAGGTCTATAGATCCTGATACTGTCACTTACAATTCATTGATCAACGGGTTTTGCTTGCAAGATCGTCTAGAGGAGGCCAAGCAGATGTTTGATTTGATGGTTAGCAAAGGTTGTCTCCCAGACGTGGTGACTTATAACATTCTTATCAATGGATTTTGCAAGTCTAAGAGGGTAGAAGATGCTATGGAACTCTTCCGTGAGATGTCTCGAAGAGGATTAGTTGGCAACACAGTCACCTATAGCACTCTTCTCAAAGGGTTTTTCGAAGCCGGCGACTGTGAGAATGCCCAGCAAGTTTTCAAACAAATGGTTTCTAGTGGTGTGCCTCGTAATATTATGACATACAGCATTTTGTTAGATGGACTTTGTAATAACGGGAAGCTAGAGAAAGCACTCGTCATCTTCTAATATCAATATTGTCACATATAATATCATCATTGAAGGGATGTGCAAGGCTGGTAAAGTGGAAGATGCTTGGGATCTGTTTGCTAGTCTCAGTCTGAGAGGAGTGCAGCCTAATGCTATAACCTACACAATAATGATCTCAGGATTTTGCGGGAAAGGCTTAAAGGAGGAAGCCGATGCCTTATTAACAAAAATGAAAGAAGAAGGGCCTCTCCCAAATAGCGGTACCTATAATACGCTGATCAGGGCACATCTCAGAGATGGTGACAAAGAAGCATCAGCAGAACTCATCAAGGAAATGAGGAGTTGCGGCTTCGGTGGAGATGTTTCGACTATAAGTTTGGTCGGGAATATGTTGTATGATGGGAGATTGGACAAAAGCTTTGTGGACATGCTTTCTTAAACAGTTTATAGCCTAGAGGTCTTGTCAAGCATGCAACCCTGTTCCGATTGAAAGCAGCAACTGTGAGTTAAATCAACGTTTTCTATTAATTGCTTCTCTGGAGATGCTTTCGAGACAATAAGCTTGGTCACTGATATGTTTGTATGATGGGGGATTAGACAAGCTCTCTGGACATGCTTTCTATAAGCAAAATCCTTGAGGTGATTCTGATTACTTCTCAACGCAGTTCTTATGTTGGCATGTTATGGTTGTTGTTGTGTCTTAACTTATGACTGATACTGTTGTTTGTGTATTTCCTGGAGTACACATACTCCACTTCTTTTTTAACACAAGATCATAATTTTAGGATCTGCAAAAAAGTGAAGTGGAACTTGATATTATTACATAACTCAACCATGTAAGTTGAGTCAGATGTGGTGAATTCCTCAAAGAGAGTTATTGTTTCGGGACTCGCAGCTTAAGTCGAAACCCCCTTGGAGATTTCAAGAAAGGTGTAAGATTGAGATGAGTCTTGAGTTTTTCTGGAATCGTTGTTTTTTGGTTTCTTGTTTATTAGATTTTGAGTATGGTGAAACCATTTAATTGCAGGAGTAGAGAAGGTAGATTATCTAAAATCAAGACAATAGCTTAGAAGTTACAAGTCTTGCCGATTTCTTTTGTTCCCTTTTTCTCTTTAGATCAGAGGTTTCAGACTGGAGGAAACTGAGTACAAGATCTCATGATTTAGCAAAAAATTCAGTTTTGTAATCACTCGATTTCTGTCTCCTGAGATTTTTGATCAGTTTCAATTGGTGAGTACTGATAATACTAATACCAGAAACTGAACCGAGTTTTGGACCGAACCGAGATTAGAAACCATAATAAACCAGTTTAAGAAATTGAAAGTTAATTGCACTGTACAAAGGAATAAGTGAAAATTAAATTTCATTTATTGTCATCTTCTTTTAAAAAAACCGTGAAAAAGAAATAAACGCAAATGGTACGCTAAACCCCACCCAAATGATTTATAAACAAAAAACAAATCACAAACCGGTAAGTAAGCTCAATAGGCTAAAGAATTTACTAAACCGGTTTCAGGAGTCTCCCTCTCAGTCTCAGTGGTTCTAGGGATTACTGAATTCTAGGGAGTGAGAAGAAGCCCGATGACCTGAAGTCAAATCGAGAAGATGAAGTTTGCGTTTGCGTTTGCGTTGACGAGAAGGAGATTTGTGCACCGGAATCTTGTCGAAAAAGGTAATCCTCCCTCGACTTCCGTTTGCGGTTTCCGTTGCTGGAGACGAGCTTTCTCTGGTTCTAGCTATGATTACAGAGAGAAGATTAGAGGTGGGTTTCTGCATGATATTAAGCTAGACGATGCAGTTGATCTTTTCGGTGAGATGATCAAGTCTCGTCCTTTACCTTCCATTGTTGATTTCAGTAAATTGTTGAGTGCCATCGCCAAGATGAAGAAGTTTGATGTTGTGGTCTCTCTCGGCGAGCAGATGCAAATGTTAGGGATTGCACATAATCTGTATACTTACAGTATTTTGATTAACTGTTTCTGCCGCCGCTCGCAACTTCCTCTTGCTTTATCCATGCTTGGGAAGATGATGAAACTCGGATATGAGCCTGATATTGTCACGCTTAACTCGCTTCTTAATGGTTTCTGTCGTCACGGTAAGAGGATTTCTGATGCCGTAGCTTTGGTTGATCAAATGGTTGAAATGGGATATCAACCCAACACCGTCACATTCAACACTCTAATCAATGGCCTTTTTCTCCACAACAAAGTCTCCGAAGCTGTGGCTTTAGTTGATCGGATGGTGCTGAAAGGGTGCCAACCAAGTTTAGTTACTTACGGTGTGGTAGTAAACGGAGTGTGTAAGAGAGGCCATACTGATTTGGCTTTGAATCTGCTCAAGAAGATGGAAGCGGACAAAATAGAGGCTGGTGTTGTGATCTACAACACACTCATTGATAGTCTCTGCAAACACAAACATGTGGATGATGCACTCGACCTATTCAGTGAAATGGAGAAAAAGGGAGTTAGACCTGATGTTTTCACTTACAGCTCCCTCATAAGCTGCCTTTGTAACTATGGAAGATGGAGCGACGCCTCTGGATTACTAAGCGATATGGTCGAGAGGAACATCGACCCCGATGTGGTCACTTTTAGTGCATTGATCGATACGTTTGTGAAAGAAGGGAAACTTTTGGAGGCCGAGAGATTGTACGAGGAGATGATCCGAAGGTCTATAGCTCCTGATACAGTCACTTACAATTCATTGATCAACGGGTTTTGCTTGCAAGATCGTCTAGAGGAGGCGAAGCAGATGTTTGATTTGATGGTTAGCAAGGATTGTCTCCCAAACGTGGTGACTTATAATACTCTTATCAATGCATTTTGCAAGTCCAAGAAAGTAGAAGATGCTATGGAACTCTTCCGCGAGATGTCTCGAAGAGGATTAGTTGGCAACACAGTCACTCACAACACTCTCATCAAAGGGTTTTTCGAAGCCAGCGACTGTGAGAATGCCCAACAAGTGTTCAAACAGATGGTTTCGGCTGGTGTACCTCGTGATATTTGGACATACAGCATTTTGTTAGATGGGCTTTGTAATAAAGGGAAGCTCGAGAAAGCACTGGTCATCTTCGAAGACATGCAAAAGAGTGAAATGGAACTCAATATTGTCACATATAATATCATCATTGAAGGGATGTGCAAGGCTGGTAAAGTGGAAGATGCTTGGGATCTGTTTGCTAGTCTCGATCTCAAAGGAGTGAAGCCTAATGCTATAACCTACACAATAATGATCTCTGGATTTTGCGGGAAAGGCTTAAAGCAGGAAGCCGATGCCTTGTTCAGAAAAATGAAAGAAGATGGGTGTTTTCCAAATGAATGTACGTATAATACGCTGATCAGGGCACGCCTTAGAGATGGTGACAAAGCAGAATCAGCTGAACTCATCAAGGAAATGAGGAGTTGCGGCTTCCGTGGTTATGTTTCAACAGTAAGATTGGTTTTTCATATGTTGCGTGATGGGAGATTGGACAAAAGCTTTTTGGATATGCTTTCTTTCTCAAGTTCTTGATGTTGCTTTTCCACGAATTACTTCTTATGTTATCATGTTGTTACATGTAGGTAGATAGATTTGTGTATATTTGGTTGAAATTGTGTGTGTGAGTTTCATGAACACACGCATTCAAGATGAGCACAATTTTTCGTTGCTTAGACAAATTTCTAGCTCCATTCGGTTCAAATGGTTAACTCCCTTTGTGCTTTTTTTAATTCTCGGTTTATTTTCAAGTCGGGTTCGAAGGATTCTATAGTATATATTCCAATGATTAGTGGGACTTTAGTAACCAAATCACAAATATTGTTAGGCAAAAACCTATTAAATCGGACTTTTTAATTTTTATTGATAAAATAGTGAAAATTAACTATTTTAGAATCCATTTTATACATTTTAAATTTATAATTAGTTACAAAAACTTATTTATTTAATAAACAATGGTTTTTTGATGTTTTAAATTTATTTAGTTTTAATTTTTCTCGTAGTACTATTGATTATTAGTGCTTTTCACCATCGAATTTTTGTGTAAATGGTGGCGATTGGATTCGATAATACCCGGTTTAATAGTACAAATATTAAACCGGAATTGAACGAACCAGTTTTGGTTTCTCGAATTATCGGTTTACCATACCGATCTCTCTCTTCATAAACATTTCGTTTTAGGATTCCGAATCAGACAAAAGGGAAGCCGGAAACGATGCAGAAATCGCTTGCGATGACGGCGAAGAGATTTCTTCATCGGAATCTTCTGGAAAAAGGTAAACCCAGAACTGGCCTTCCTTCGTTAAGCCATTGCGGTTTCTGTGGCTGGGTACGAGCTTTCTCTAGCGTGATTGATTTCCGAGAGAGACTGAGCAGGAACCGGCTTCGTGATATCAAGCTAGATGATGCAATCGATTTGTTCACCGATATGGTCAAGTCTCGTCCTTTCCCTTCCATTGTCGATTTCAATAGATTGTTGAGCGCCATTGTTAATATGAAGAAGTATGATGTTGTGATCTCTCTGGTCAAGAGGATGGAAAATCTGGGAATCCGAAATGATCTGTACACATTCAACATTCTTATAAACTGTTTCTGTAGCTGCTTTCAAGTCTCTATTGCTTTATCTGTTCTTGGGAAGATGTTGAAACTTGGTTATGAGCCGGATAAAGTCACGCTTGCCTCTCTTGTCAATGGATTCTGTCGCAGGAATAGGGTTTCTGAAGCTGTATCTTTCGTTCAGAAAATGGTGGAAATAGGTTATAAACCTGACATTGCAGCTTACAACAAGATCATTGATTGTTTTTGCAAAACTAGAAGGGCTAATGATGCTCTCAACTTCTTCAAGGGGATTGAAAGGAAAGGGATAAGACCAAATGTTATTACCTACACTTCTCTCGTAAAGGGTCTTTGTAATTCGGGACGATGGAGCGACGCAGCTCGGCTGTTGAGTGATATGATCAAGAGGAAGATCAGACCAAATGTGATTACTTACAGCGCGTTGGTCGATGCATATGTGAAGAATGGGAAGGTTTTAGAGGCCAAAGAGCTGTACGAGGAGATGGTCCGAATGTCTATCGAACCTGATATCGTCACTTACAGTTCCCTGATCAATGGATTTTGTATGCACGATCGTATAGACGAGGCCAGTGAGATGTTTGATTTGATGGTTAGCAAAGGCTGTTTCCCAGATGTAGTGAGTTACAACACTCTTATTAATGGGTTTTGTAAGTCGAAGAGAGTAGATGATGGCATGAAACTCTTCCGGGAGATGTCTCAGAGAGGATTGGTTAGCAATACAGTCACTTACAACACTCTTATCCAAGGATTTTTTCAAGCAGGCGATGTTGATATGGCTCAAGAATTTTTTAATCAGATGGATTCTTTTGGCGTATCTCCTGATATTTGGACCTATAACATTTTTTTAGGTGGTCTTTGTGACAACGGGAAGGTAGAGGAAGCATTGGTGATATTTGAAGATATGCAGAAGAGAGAAATGGATCTTGATATTGTCACGTATACTACAATCATCCAAGGGATGTGCAAGACTGGTCAGGTTGAAGACGCTTGGGGTTTATTTTGTAGCCTCAGCCTCAAAGGAGTGAAACCTGACGTTGTCACATACACTACAATGATGTCAGGCTTGTGTAGGAAAGGCCTACATCGTGAAATAGATGCATTGTATACAAAAATGAAAGCAGACGGGCTTATGCTGAACGACGGCACGCTATGTCTTAGAGATGGGGACATAACAGCATCAGCTGAACTTATGAAAGAAATGCTGAGTTGTGGCTATGCACCGTCTTTACTAGGAGACAGAGAGTCTAGGCGAAGCAAAAAAGCTCTCTCTTTGTAGTGATTATTGCTTGGTGTTTCTTTAATGTCGAGTTGAGAGATCCTCGATTAATTCATCCAAGCGTTGAGTATCTTGTTCATTCAAGTGTTACCAAATGGCGAGTGCATATGGATTCTTCACGCACCCCTCACTCCCAATCGGAGATTCTGTATACGGGTTACGCATTGCAAAGGGATCTTCTAGAAGGGTTTTGTGCTCCGTCATAATCATCAGCAGCTCTATCAATGGTGCTGATAAGCATTGCTTCATATTAACCTTCTGATATCGGTGCTTGAGGTGAGATTTCTGCCTCCGTTACCTCAATTGCATTTCTTGGCCCACTCGTGTTATGTTCATGGTCTAATTTTTCTTACGAAATCCATTGGTTTGAGATCCTTTTTTTTACTACCAGATTGAAGTTGTTCTGGCTGTTCTGTTATGTCTAAAATGGTATGCAAAGCTAGAATATTTCGAGTCTTGTTTGGCTTTAGAAAGATCTCAACTCCCAAAATTGACCTTCAATACATTTTTAGCATCTCTCTAAAACGCCCTCTTATTATTAGGCTTAATTTGACTCATCTAGCTTATACATCAGTCCAGTCTCCTGGTATCTAATGGAAACTACCAAGCTTTTTCCAGTTTCAAAGATACAATTATCACTTGAACGTTCTCAAAACCAATGGAAGTGTTATTGTAGATGAGAAAAACACACATAAACAGTCTTTATTGTTTCCTGCGCTTTATTTCGGTGTCTTTGTTCTTTTGCAGAATTTGAGTTCTTAAACCGGGTTGACTATGCAATGCAGGTACTCAGGAACATAGGAGTGTATGAGAAAAGAAGTATTTGGCGAACCGGCATGAGGAATAGAGCATCACTAAGTTTCTCAAGCTTATCAAGATTTCTCTCTTTGTGCATAAACAAAAGAAATGTTGGGGAGATAGGGGAAAATACGCGCAGCCAGAGGTTAGAGAAAGCCATGAAGTTGTAATAATTTCCATAAGACAAATGAAAAAATTTCGAGGAAAAATGCAAATTCTAGTCGTAGTGTTTGACTGTATCCTAACAGTGACATCTTGTATTCATTGAAATTTTAATTAAAAGGAAAATTATATAGAGAAAATTATTGAGAAGGCCAAAGGTATTTTGAATCTTTTTGGCTAAATAATCTATTCTCTCTCTGACCACCGGTATGATCTTATAAATTGAAGTTCTTAAATTTTTTATTATTATTAATTTTTTTTTTCAAAAAAAAATAAAAGTGAGTAAAAGTGACGAATCACGTCTCGCCACGTGGCGAGAGACGATTCTACGGACCGTAGACCCTGCGCAGATTGTCAATTCTGTGGCAGAGTCTTGCCATGTCATTTTTTTAATTTTTTTTCTTTAAAACTCTTGTTGGGCTCACTAATACTAATGCTCTTAAAACATTTACAATACTGGTTTTTTAACAAATATTTTAACTTTAAAAAATATTAAAAAATAAAAAAGTAAGAAATCTGAGAAGAAACAGTTTTTAGAGCATGAGTATTGCAAAGCCAAATGAGAGATTCTTAATAATATTTTATTATTAAAAAAATTAATTTTTTGAAAAAACTATTTTTAAAAAAAAGAAAAAAAAAAGAAAAGATGACCGATCATATTATGTCCATAGAAGAGTCGATTCTATAAACTCTATGCAGAGAGTCGACTCACCTCTGCACATTTGCCATGTCATTTTTTTTTCTTTTTTTCTTTTTTTTTTTCCTTTAGAATTCTTGAGAAACTGTGCAATACTCATGCTCTTATAACTTTCATTTAAGAGTTGGATCTAAGATTTTCCTAAACATGTGTCATCATATGATTAATTTGTTTTCTTTTATATTTAAAATTTATTTATATTATTATATTATATTAATATTTTATATTTAAGAAAAGTATCATAATGTTTCTTGCGTTGCACTTGGTCTTATACATCTGTGGATGGCCCATCTATAAAGCAACAGCTTCTTGCTCTCTGCTTCTTATTTTCTCTTAGAGCATCTCCAGCGGTTAAAACTCTGTGAGAGTATTTAACAAAAAAAAATTTTAATTTTTAAATTATAAAAAAATTTAAACCAATCATAAAAGGAGCACATGTAGAAGGATTTGTTAAAATAGTTAAGAACGTTTGTTAAAACAGAATCTAAGAGACACTTTTAATGCTTTATTCTTGATTTTTATTATTTTATTAATATTTTTTTTTTAAGAGATTGTGTTTAAAAACCTCTGATGGAGGTGGTCTTATCTCCTAAGAGCAAGTGCAACGCATGATTTTTAAGAAAAATTTTAGGATATCTAAACAATAAAATAAGATAAAATAATAGAAAAATGAGAGATAAAATAAGAAGTAATTCTTATTTAAGAGTTATAAAATCTGATTTTTAAAGAAGAAATGAAAGATGGTGTGGTATACATGTCAAGTTTTAAATAGTTACACATTAATTAATTATTTTATATCAAACTTAGATATTATTTTTGAGTTTTTGGCATTGCACCTGGTCTAATAATTATTATTCATCTGCTAATTAACAGCTTCACAGTTTTTCTTTTTCCTTTGTGGAATCTCTTTCTCTGTGTCTCTGCAACGATGGGTGGTTGCTTCTCTGTATCTTATCATGTGATCAACTTGTGAATCAAGCTTATCAATGGTTATGTGTCAAAGAGAGTTATGTTCACAACCTCGAGGAGAATCTCACAACTTTGGAGACAACCATGGAAGAGTTGAAGGCACAACTCAATGATCTATCAAGAAGGGTGGAGAGAGAAGAAAATAAAGGTTTAAGAAGGCTTGCCCAAGTCCAGGTATGGCTTACTAGAGTTGAGACCATCGAAAGCCAAGTCAATGGTCTCTTTAGTGTTAGACAATTTGAGCTTCAAAGGTTGTGTCTTTGTGGGTTTTGCCCCAAAAGTCTAAAATCGAGTTATCTCCTAAGAGCAAGTGCAACGCATGATTTTTAAGAAAAATTTTAGGATATCTAAACAATAAAATAAGATAAAATAATAGAAAAATGAGAGATAAAATAAGAAGTAATTCTTATTTAAGAGTTATAAAATCTGATTTTTAAAGAAGAAATGAAATATGGTGTGATATACATGTCAAGTTTTAAATAGTTACACATTAATTAATTATTTTATATCAAACTTAGATATTATTTTTGAGTTTTTGGCATTGCACCTGGTCTAATAATTATTATTCATCTGCTAATTAACAGCTTCACAGTTTTTCTTTTTCCTTTGTGGAATCTCTTTCTCTGTGTCTCTGCAACGATGGGTGGTTGCTTCTCTGTATCTTATCATGTGATCAACTTGTGAATCAAGCTTATCAATGGTTATGTGTCAAAGAGAGTTATGTTCACAACCTCGAGGAGAATCTCACAACTTTGGAGACAACCATGGAAGAGTTGAAGGCACAGCTCAATGATCTATCAAGAAGGGTGGAGAGAGAAGAAAATAAAGGTTTAAGAAGGCTTGCCCAAGTCCAGGTATGGCTTACTAGAGTTGAGACCATCGAAAGCCAAGTCAATGGTCTCTTTAGTGTTAGACAATTTGAGCTTCAAAGGTTGTGTCTTTGTGGGTTTTGCCCCAAAAGTCTAAAATCGAGTTATCGTTATGGGAAACGGGTTTACATGATATTAAAGGAGGCTGGGAGTCTCAAATCTAATGGAGTTTTTGAAATTTTTGCTGAGAAAGCTCAAGCGTCTGAGGTGGTAGAGAGGCCTATTCAACCGACAATAGTTGGTCGGGAAACAATTCTTGAAACGGCATGGAACCGTCTCATGGAAGATGGAGTTGGTGTCATGGGTTTGTTCGGTATGGGTGGAGTAGGAAAAACTACACTTCTCACACAGATCAATAACAAATTTCTCAAGAAAGAAGATGCTTTTCATATTGTGATTTGGGTTGTGGTATCAAAGGAATTACAGATCCAGAAGATGATCAAGAAGATGTTGCAAAGGAACTATGCCTGACCGGAGAAGACTGGAACCAGAAAGATGAAGATCAAAAGGCATGTGACATACACAGTGTCCTAAAGAAGAAGTTTGTGTTGTTGCTTGATGACATATGGGCCAAAGTAAACCTATCTAGGATCGGAGTCCCTTTCCCAAGTAGAGAAAACGGATGCAAAGTAGTTTTCACCACTCGTTCTCGAGAAGTATGTGGACGCATGGGAGCTGATGTTGAAGTAGAAGTCCAATGTCTGGCTTCTAATGATGCATTGGATTTGTTTCGAAAGAAAGTTGGAGAGACCGCGTTAAGAAGTCATCCAAACATACCGAATCTTGCAAATGTGGTTGCTAAAAAGGTGTCGTGGTCTGCCACTAGCACTTAACGTCATCGGCGAAGCCATATGGCAAGCAAACGGACGGTTCAAGAATGGCAGCCAAACGAACGGTTGATGTTTTGGCTTCATATGCTGCTGAGTTTCCAGGGATGGATGATGAGATTCTTCCAGTTTTAAAGTATAGTTACGATAACCTAAAAGGTGAACATGTCAAATCGTGTTTGCTATATTGCGCTTTATTTCCAGAAGATCATAGGATTTGTAAACGTGGGTTGTTAGAGTATTGGATATGCGAAGGGTTTATAGATGGAAGTGGTGAAAGTCTTGAAAAGGCTGTGAACAAGAGATATAAGATCATCGGTAGTCTTGTTCGTGCGTCATTGTTGATGGAGGATGAGAAGAAAGCTTCACGTGAAGTGTATATGCATGATGTTGTTCGTGAAATGGCCTTGTGGATCTCATCTGATTATGGAAAAGAAAAAGATAATTTCATCGTGCGTGCTGGTGTTGGGTTACACGAAGTACCGAAGGTTAAGAATTGGAATGTTGTCAAGAGAATGTCGCTGATGTCGAATAGGATTGATTGTGTTTCCGGCAGTCCGAGATGTCTTGAGCTTACAACATTGTTCTTGCAGAAAAACAAGAAGACGTTGGTAAACATCTCCGGCGGTTTCTTCCGGTCCATGCCAAGGCTAGTTGTCTTGGATCTATCGTTTAATACAAATCTATCTGAGTTGCCAGATGAAATATCGGAGTTGGTTTCGTTGAAATATCTCAACATGTCATTTACAGGCATAGAGTGTTTGCCTGTCGGGTTTCGAGAGTTGAAGAATCTGATTCACTTGGATTTGGAAGGAACGAGTAAACTCTCGAGTGTTGTTGGGATCATATCTGCACTACTGAATTTAAAAGTGTTGAAGTTACTTCGTTCTAACGTTTCATGCGGTCCCAACACAATATTGGAGGAGTTACAAGTGTTGGAACATCTAGAAACCCTAACCATTGGAATCATTTACGGTTCAGGTTTAAATCGATTTTGCATCTCTCACAAGCTGATGCGTTGTACACAAGCTCTAGCGATCAAGAGTTGTCAACTAGAATCCTCTAGTATATCGTTTTTAGGTAGTGTTGATGAACTCATTCTCGATGGATGTAGTATCTTTGAGATAAAGATGGATGCATGCTTCATGAGCCTCTCTCGCATTACTCTACAACATTGCAAGTGCGTAAGAGAATCGACGTGGCTGATGTTCGCTCCGAATCTTGCAAAGCTTTTTGTTTACGGTGCAGACGAATTAGAAGACATCATAAGCGAAGAGAAAGCTTTTGGTTGTGAAAGTTGTGAGATTGTTCCTTTCAAGAAACTAAGAACTCTACCAGAGCTGAAAACATATTTTGGAGCCCTTTACCGTTTCATTGTCTTAAGAAAATCATTGTACTTAACTGCCCAAAGCTGAGAAAGCTTCCACTCAATTCTAAAAGCTGCTCAGGTGGTGAAAATGGAGTTTTCATAAAGTACAAAGAGAAAGAATGGTTAGAAGAAGTTGAATGGGAAGACGAAGCTACCAAAGCCTGTTTTTTACCTTCGTGCATACAACAGATCTAATTTCTCTTCTCCTTTTTTTGTTGTTTTAGTGTAATTTTTTCCTCTTTTGTTGTTTTAGTATATATATATATATATATATAAACCTACTTGAACCACAAGTTACTTCATTTATCTTGTAAAAAGCAAATGAGGTAACTTGTGGGGGAAGATACGAGAAAGGACATTGTGATGCTGCTTGAACAGGAACTCTAAGATTAAAGATAATAAGAACGATAATGTTACAATTATGTCCGAAGCTTCTAATAAACACATAAACCGTCGAACGCCTCAAAATGCAAAACCCAAAGTAAAAGAAAATCAACATCACCGAGAAGGAACAATGTTCAATTTGTAAAAAAAATCAGGTGCGAGAAGAAGGGCACCGAGATCGTCGGCAGAGTAATGATGAATATTTGCACTGTTTATTTGCCAGACCTTAAACGACGCCGTAACGGTCGCATTAAGGGCGTTGTTGAACAAGTAGAGCTTCGTAGCTCCGTAGATTGCTTTTGTCGGAAAAACCCTAGACGTACTACATGTTCTCCCACCTTGTCCGAATCCTTCTACTATTGAGTGATCCACCTACAGCAAATTAAAATTTAATTATAACACAGTTTAATACAATTCTTATTTAATATAAAATGAAACTGATGTATATCATAATATATTACCAAAATTTTCATAGTCAATTTCTCCCCTTTCAGGACTGGTACGAAGCTTCCGTATATTGATTTCACCGCATCGTTTGCCATGGTCGACCTATTAAAAGACATTTTGATTAAACCATAAGTCAATATTTTCATCTAACAGAGGATCTATATAATAATATATATAAGCTATTTTCTTTTTTCGAAATCTGCATTTAACAGAAATGTATGGTAAAAATGCAAATATATGGATTGATTATCTTAATGATGAATTACTTACCTTAAGGTGTCAGTGCAGAAGAAAGTATTAAGTTTAGAATCTTTTCCCTTCGACACATAGAAATAAACCGGAGTTTGTTCCGATAAGCTTTCGTCAGAAAGAACCGAGAATCCGAAAGGCCCTAAAGCACCGCTCACGGTGGAGCCTCGGCTGGTTTCGCAGCTGAAATCATCCTCTGCCTCCACGGAGTCGTCTCCAGGGACCATTTCAACATCTTCTTTTTTTATCTCGAACTCAGCCTCTATGTCTAGCTGAGCCGCGGGACCCACATCGACCGGAACCACCATCCCTGGTTCAACCTTCATGTCGAATTTACTGCTGTTTAGTCTCAAAAGTTCGATTTCCTCAACTGGCCATTGTACTAAGTTCTTCCCCGTCTTCGTGTCCAGGACAACAGTTCGTGGAATGCCCTGTATATGGACGGTTTAAGAAAATTCTAAAAATATATTCTTGGGTCACAAGTAACTAACTCATCAAAGCCCTAACTTCCATGCCACGTTAGCTAGGAAAAACATATATTACCTGAACAGAAGATCAACCCTTTTGTACATCAGCAGCTTCACTGTCAGACTCACCGATCCAACCCCATAAAATTCGTCGTCTCTTATGTTGATCGTAAAACGTCTTTCACGCATATAACTTCCCATAATCATATCTCAAACCGGTACTGATCCCGACATCGATAGTAGGATTATCCGGGACCCATGTTCCATTTGATTCGTAATACGTCCCAATGGCAATAATGATCGATCCTAGTATCGTCCATGCTAGCCTTGATGATATGTTTCACATCCGGTCCGTTGACCGAACTGTCAAGCCCATTCTCTTCAGTCTTGGACACCAGGTAAAAGTCAATGCACTCCCACATTCCGGTATCAGGGACTTGGTGCAACAAAGTATCTAGCTTCTCGTAAGTTTTGAAATCGGTTGTGTCATAAACAAGAGATATTCCGGTTCTATTGACCTTGGAACGGATCGTGATCCGCCATTTTCCGGCTGATGTTTTCCAAGCTGTTGTCGGGTCACGGAAGTCCTTTTCGCCGATTCCTGGAGGCGGTACGAGAACCGGGTTGCCAGAGAACTTGGTCCATTTCAACAAAAGTGGGTCGCTAGGATACTCAGGATAGGCAAGATTTTGAACCTAATATCGTAGTTATTACTAATATCACATTCACATCAATCGATTACTAACATCACATTCACATCAACCGGATTACTAATAGTACATTCAAATGTAGGTGATTACGGCTATAAAGTGTTATATTGATATTAGACGTGAATTTGAATCCAATACTAAACTTGTGAAAGAATTATTCACGTTTACCACGAATATTATAATAAAACAAAACCAATATTAAGTCTTCAGTTATGAATCAAATCAATATCTAAAAGAAGAAGAAGAAGATATTAAAATCATTACCTGTACGAATTTGTCGGTGGAACCGGTGTAGAGCATGACAAGAGAACCATCATCGAGGAAAGTAGCCGAACCGGTCCAGACGCCGGTAGCGTCGTACCATTGGTCAGGAACCATGGCTAATGGGAGGTGAAGCCAGTGGATAAGGTCCTTTGAAACGGCGTGACCCCAAACAATGTCACTCCACACGGCTCCATTTGGGTTATAATGATAGAACAAATGATACCATCCCTTATAAAACAATGGACCTAGACACATGATTAACAGTTCATTTGTTGCGGTCAAAACTAAAATCTTCAAATGTAAGAATTTTTTTGTAAATAATGAAATCATAGACACCAGACCAGATCTAAATAAATATTATGATGCATGGTACATAACAAACATAGCTTAAGAAACAAGATTTAAGTAATTTTGAGCTAACATTTAAGTAATTAACAAACATAGCTTAAGAAACAAGATTACGTCACCGATACAGGATAACATTTTTTTTTATATTGGTAGGAAACAAAACCAGAAACAATTTTGAGCTATTTTAGCTATATATGTTGACTATAAGAAAATCAATAATGATGATATCAATTATTTATAAGTAAATAATGAATTTTTTTTTTTTTTTACTTTGTTAATACTTTATACCGTTCATCCAATTTTTCTCAGGCTGGAAATGAAACGCCGTTCGTTGCCACGATAACACAGTATTGTTCCACGGGAACGCTTCCGTTTCCTGGACGTTGCTCTTCTCCGACAAGCCGGACAAACGAACACGTGACTCATCGGCTTTTTCATTTGCGGTGTCACGTGCGGATCCATCGTGTGTGACAATGAGGGTGACGTACAAAGCGATCAGGAGCAAGATGACGGCGAGATGGACTTTGATGGGTCGTCTCCGGTGGGTTTCTGGCATCGACTCTGATCTTGAATGAGATAATGGTTCTTCTCTGAATAGTACAGGCAAGAGAGCTTCGGAGCTCGCCATTTCTTTTACCTCGTTTTGTTTTCTTTTAGAATTGATAAATGTATTTGGAAAATGGCAAGTTGGAAAATAAACAAAAACATGATGATCTCAAACTAAGTATATATCAATATTTAAATCTGCGGCAGGTCTGCAAATCAGAGTTGTTATTTTTTGTAATTAATACTCAATAATTAGTTATTAACTAAATTATATTAGACCGATTTGTGCTACTTTTCCTTGTTGCGCACACTACAACACACATTAGCATATCTACAATATAGATGTGCTAATTTGTAGCTTTTTCAAGTTTCCCAAAATGTTGATTAATATGTTGAGTCGTTGACTAAAAATGAAGATGTAAAATGGGCGGAATAATTTTTCTTTTCTTTCGAGTTTTCTATTCTCTTATTTTTAGTATAGAATAATTACTTAGATATTAAAAAAGGGACACGAGCAACACGAGGGATATGGACGTGACGACCACTTATTTAGAGGTACAAGTAATATAAGATTTTTCATGTTAAATATTAGGAACCTGTTTTCAACAAGATCTCAGATTTATTAAAACGTGGCCTAATATAATTATTTTTGTTTTAGAAAGTTTTTAACGATTCATAAGTTTGATTTGGTAAAATCCTTTAACAAAAAAAAAGTTTGATTTGGTTTAATATCTATTTTTTTATTTTGTAAGCTTAATTTTTTTTATGGTTGATCATCGTTATAAATCTTTCATAAGACTTGTTCTATAATCACATTTTTTACTAATTTTCAATATTATATCAAATAAAAATTCACTGAAGAGATTAATAACCAAAAGTCAACTACTGTTATGCCTTTTATATTTTAATCCCAAGACTAGTTTTTTTTTATTGTTGTGTCATTATAATGAATGGGTCTGATAATGAGCTTCTATGCCATTCTGGAGTTGGCTTTCTGTTGTTAATTTTCCCTTCAATGATCAATGAACAAATCCGATTTTTTTAAATGAGAAAACAATATTACTTTTTTTCTTTCTCTTCACTCACATGATAAATGAATCACAGATATGACAGATCAAATCAGACCCATTATATGACAACAATCAAAAAACTAAACCAAAAAAAAAGAGAGAAAATTCTCTTATTATTTGTAAATAATCAGGTGCGGGAAGGAGCATCGACATCATCCGCAGAGTAAGGACGAATAAAAGCACCGTTCATTTGCCAGACCCTAAACGACGCCGTAACGGTTGCATCAATGGCGTTGTTGAACAAGAACAGTTTTGTAGCTCCATAGATAGCTTTTGTTGGATATACCCTTGAAGTAATACATGTTCTTCCACCTTGTCCAAATGCTTCTACTATCGAATGATCCAGCTATACAAAATCGAGATTAACAACAACACAGTTAATTTTAATTCTTGATTTTACAAAATGGTATTTATATACGGATATGATATATTACCAAGATTCTCATGGTCAACTTCTCTCCTTTTAAGACCGGTACGAAGCTTCCGTATACCGGTTTCACAACATCGTTTGCCTTGGTTGACCTATTAATTATAGAGATTTTGATTAATATTTCGTTAAAATGCAATTTACGGATTGATTACTTTGTTGAAAAAGAACTTACCTTGAGGTGTCAGTGCAGAAGAAAGTCTTGAGTTTTGAATCTTTTCCCTTAGTCACATAAAAGTAAACCGGAGTTTGTTCCGACAGGCTTTGGTCAGCGAGAACCGAGAACCCAAAAGGCCCTAAAGCCCCACGTACGGTGGAGCCACCACTGGTTTCGCAGCTAAATTCCTTGTCGTCTGTCACAGAGTCATCTCCAAAGATTACTTCGAGATTGTCTTTCTTGATCTTGAACTCAGCTTCTATGTCTAGCTGAGCGGCGGGACCAACTTCGACCGGAACCACCGTCCCTGGTCCAACCTTCATGTGGAATTTCTTACTGGTCAATCTCAATGATTCGATTTCCTTAACTGGCCACTGGACCAAGTTTTTCCCCGTCTTTGTGTCCAAGACAACAGTTCTTGGGATCCCCTGATCATGATTTAAGCAGAATTTAATCCCTCACTTGAGAAACTAGTAATTAATATATATATATATATATATCAGAGCCCTAACTTTCCTACCACGTTAGGTTAACAAAATCCATACCTGAACAGAAGACCAGCCCTTTTGTACATCAGCGGATTCGCTGTCAGATTCACCGATCCAGCCCCATAAGATTCTTCGTCCCTTATGTTGATCGTAAAACGTCTTTGACGCGTAAAATTTGCCGTAATCATATCTCAAAGCGATACTAATCCCAACATCAATAATAGGATTATCCGGGACCCATGTTGCATTAGAATCATAGTATGTACCAATAGCATAATGGTCAATTCTAGTATCGTCCATGCTAGCCTTTATGATATGCTTCACATCCGGTCCATTCACTGAAGTGTCAAGACCCTTGACTTTAGTCTTCGACACCGGATAAAAGTCAACGCACTCCCACATTCCAGTGTTTGGGACTTGGTGCAACAAGGTATCGTGTTTCTCGTAGGTTTTGAAATCTGTAGTGTCGTAAACGAGAGATATTCCGGTTCTATTGATTTTTGAGCCGATTGTGATCCGCCATTTTCCGGCCGATGTCTTCCACGCCGTTGTTGGGTCACGGAAGTCCTTTGCACCGATACCTGGAGGCGGTACGAGAACCGGGTTGCCGGAGTACTTGGTCCATTTCAACAAAAGTGGGTCGCTAAGATCCTCAGGATAGGCAAGGTTTTGGACCTAAGAAGATAGTAGTTGCTAATATTATTCATTGATCCGACCAAATTCATATTAAAATGATTTGTTAAAATAACACAAAAGTAGTTAGCTTAACCGGGTAAGAGATATTACTTTTGTTTTACCTGGATCGAATACTACATTTTTCAAAAGAATTATTTATTTAGTATAAATCCATCAATACCTGTACGAATTTGTCCGTGGAACCGGTGTAGAGCATGACAATGGAGCCATCGTCGAGGAAAGTGGCTGAACCGGTCCAAACGCCATTAGCGTCATACCACTGGTCAGGAACCATGGCTAATGGGAGGTAAAGCCAGTGGATAAGGTCCTTTGAGACGGCGTGACCCCAGACAATGTCTCCCCACACGGCTGCATTTGGGTTGTACTGATAGAAGAAATGGTACCATCCCTTATAGAACAGTGGACCTGGATACACACAAGGTTAGCATTTCGTTTGTTAGTACCATATTTGTCTTAATTTGTTGGGACCACGTACACTTTTATCATAATTTTCGACAAAACCGTCAAAACCCTTTAGCTAGTCCATAATATTAAGACTATCTCAAGTTTTCATTCACTAAAATCAATTGATATATAAATAAACTTGATGTAAAAAAGGCTAGCTTAGATATATTCCAAGAAAAAATCAGCAGCATTTAAAAAGTATTATTGTGCCTCAAAATTTACTAAGATGATCTTGAAAGAATTGTTGATTTTATATATAAAAAAAAATTCCGGGATATATATAGTGTAGAGTGGAATCAAAAACTTGAGCAAAATCTTTTTGTTTTGTTTTTGTTCAAATAATAAAATCTACCTCATGCTGAAGTGGTACAAAAACAGTCTACGCGTGTGAGCAGGCCCAGTTTTAATAGGATCTCGAACATTAGCATATATTAACAATTTTAAAAACACGTTTTACTATAAAAAATACGACGTTTCAAATACATTGGGGTTGGTAGAACGAGTTAATCCCAATCACAAAATTGACTCTCAAGACACACTAATGGGCAAGCAATGATTTGTCCAATATGCACATGACTCACGTGGTGTATATAAAACAAACAAAAGAAACAAAACAAAAAGGAACATAATTGGCTCTCATGACTTTCTGTTCAGATATTGTTTTTGTACTTTTATATTACTTTTAAGGTGTAAATTAATAATTGTCTCTCACGAAATTTCTATTTCCATAATTTTGTTCCAATGATATTAATTGTGGTCCGCAAACGACGCGCCGTTTTGTCATATATCTACCAATAATTTTGGGGGGTATTAGATATATTATATCTACCAATTGGCAATTGTTAACTCAATATAATTTCTTATAATGTGTTTTCCCGTTTTCCATATTGTATATATATAAAAAATAAAACAAGGTCAAAGGAAAAAAAAAGAATGTATTCTTCTAATTAAAAGCCAAAAAATAGAAGACTTCAATGTAGGATCTAGAGCTTACCATTAGGATCTGAAGACGGAGAAGCCAAAATGTTGCCATTCACAGACGCCATCGGATTGAGCAAACAAAAAAATAGAACACAAAACAGTAAATTAAATATGAAATAAACATGGTTAATCTTCCTTGAAATTGCAAATATTGGATATCAGTCTTGCTTAATATTACTTCAATCTTGCTCTTAAATTATGATCTAAATATACAAACCGTTACTAAATACAAAAATCTATAGAAAAAGAGGAAATTGAACATTCTTTTGGTGTTGTTCGGGAAAAAAGTGTTTCCACTTTTTAATTATTTTAGCTATCTATATATACGAAATCAATAATGATTAATTAAATAACCATATGACTAGTAGTAATATAGTCTTCTTTTTGTTCATACCGTTCATCCAATTTTTCTCAGGTTGGAAATGAAACGCCGTTCGTTGCCACGACAACATAGTATTGTTCCACGAGAACGCTTCCGTTTTCCGATCATCGGGATTTCCCTTCTCCGACACGCCCGCCAAACGAGCACGTGACTCCACCGTCGTTTCGTCAGTGGCGCCATTTTTGCTTGCGGATCCGTCGTGTGTGACGATGAGAGCAACGTACAAAGCGATCAATAGAAAACCGGAAAAGACGGCGAGATGGACTTTGATGGTTCTTCTTCGACAGGTCTCCCGGATCGGGACGGATTTTGAATCGGATAATGGATCTTGTTGGGAAGTGACCGGCAATAAAGATTCAGAGCTTGCCATTTCTGTTCTGTTTTGCTTTCTTTAGAATTGATGGTTGTAACAGATTATGGCAAGTCCAGTATATATATATGGAAAAATTCTTTCCCAAAAAAAAGAAAAAAATAAAATTAATATAAAAAAGAAACAAATCTAAAAGATAAATAAAAATATTGAATCAGACAGAGACATGTAGAGATTAGAAAGTTAAGAGAGTAAACTGGATTGGGTCCGCAAGTTGGAGCTGTAATTTTTGTATGAATTTAAGGTTGTTCATATTTACAGACTACAAGTACAAGCCAATATGTCTATTCATTAATTATTTATTAAGATAATTGGTTTTGGGGTCAATAGATTAAGACCCATTCTCTGCTAATTTCCTGGTTGTGGAACCTCATAAAAGTAGACCAATCTCATTTTCCTACTACTAAATATCAATCCGAAAATGTTCTCCATATTTGTTTTTATTATTATTCTATCCATGATATTGTTTAACATCTTGCATACAGACATACAATAAATTTACACAATAATGGTTACTAAAATTAAATATTATCTCTAAAAAACACTATATCACTCCATTTTCTATTTAATTCGCTGTATAAATCAAATATTAAATTGAAGAATATATAAAAGGGCATATTTCATGGAAAAAGAAAATGTAATTAATCTATTTTATAGAATAATCAACACAATAATAACACTCATGTCTCTCTATAACTTGATACATCAGCTTTTTGAAGTTTTATAAACATGACACCTCAGCAAAAATAATCACTAATCAAAACATTTCATTAATACAACTCATCTACTTATTTTTAAATTTTAAACTTAAACCCATTAAAAATCCAAATACTTTTTCTATTAATCTTTGTTTATATTTTACCAAACACAAACCCAAATAACTAATAACAACAATAAAAAGAATCTTTATTTTATTTTTTACCAAACTCAAGCCCAAATAATAAATAAAAATAAAAAAATAAAGTTTTGCTTTATTTTATGCCAAATTCAAATAATAAATAACAACAAATAAATAATACTAAAAAAATTATAGCTATCTGTTTGTTTGACAGAGACGTATATTAGAATCACTAATAGCCAGTCAGAGTGGATTGAGAAAGAAAAAGTGTATGCTCAGCATCAACCATGCTTCGACGAGAAAACAATTTTTCTTGGCTTTGGCGGGAATAAGAAATTTAACCTTTTTGCCGAGAATATGAGATTTCTTGATTTCAGTAGGAAAATGTAATTTTCAGTTTTGGTAGCAAAACATAATTTCTCGGTTATGGCGGAAAAAACAAATTCTCAGGTTTGGCGGGAAAATGTGAATTCTTGGTTTTGGTGAGAAAACAAAAAAAAAAATTGATTTTGACGGGAAAACAAAATATCTTAGTTTTGACGGGAAATGCAATTTTTGGTTTTGATGTGGAGTGCAACTTTTCAATTTTGACGAAAAATGTGATTTCTCAGTTTTGATAGGAAATGCAAATTTTTGAATTTTGACTGATTTCTTGGTTTTCACAGGAAATTATAGTTTCTCGGTTTGATGGGAAAACAAAATTTCTAGGTTTTGGCGAGAATAAGCAATTTCTCGGTTTAGATGGGAAATGCAAATTTTTAATTTTTGACGAATAATGTATTTTTTTGGTTCTCGCGGAAAATATACAATTTCTCAGTTTTTCGCAGAAAATACAGTTTCTTAGTTTTCGCGGAAAAACATAATTTTTCGGGAGATAATGCAATTTTTGGTTTTTGCGGAAAATTGTAGTTTATTTTTTGTTTTGATAAAGAAGAGTGATTCTTGGTTTGACGAGAAAATGAATTTTTTTTTTTGGCAGGAATAGATGATTTCTCGATTTTTGCAGGAAAATATGTTTTTTTGGTTTTGACACGAAAATACGATTTTTTTTTTTGTTTTTGCAAGAAGATAATTTTTTTTTGGTTTTAGTGAAAAACGTGATTTCTCAATTTTGGCAGAAAAACACAAGTTTTTGCGGAAAAATAAAATTTTAGGTTTTAAGTTTGGCGAGAAAATATTTTTTTTTTCTTTTGGCGGGAATAGACAATTTCTCAGTTTCATGAGAAGTGAAATATTTTGGTTTTGACGGAAAATGCGATTTTTGATTTTTGTAAGAAGATGAAAATTTTCAATGCTAAATTTCCAAGTTAAAGTATGTTACAATAAACAAAATCTAATTATTTAACTTTAACTAAAATGATATTTCAAGAGTTCAAATAGAATTTTCTATTTAGTTCTATAAACAAAAATTTTCTATGCTAAATTTAGTTCTAAAGCAATAGCAATAGTTTTGATATGAATATTTTTGATTATAGTTTGGTATTTTTAGAAATATATGTTTATAGTATATATTTGATAAATAAATAAATTTATAATTTACGATAATCGTATTAATTAATAAATCTTTTTTTAAAATGACACTTTGCTTTATATAATTACAAAGGAGGATCAAGTGGCAATTTATGAGAGAAAATAGATTATATTTATCATTAGCATAAATGTACTAAAAATGTATTGTTTTATTCTTACATATACATTTATAATTAGTTAGCTAAACAAATTTGATAGTAAATTATATTTTTGAAAAATAAAAATATACAATATTTATCAGATTTAAAATATATAAATACATAATTTAAGCTAATAAAATTAAATACAATACTTATTTATATTATATTTTTTTATTATATTAAAAATATATACAAAATTTAGCAGCATAGTACAGATAAATACCTAGTATTTAATAATAATTGCAAAATAATGTTTTAAGCAAACAATTTTAGTATACTTAATGAGGATAAATTTGTAAACGAAATCGACATTTTATCAACAAACTATTATGGAACGGGGAGACTAATACTACTAGTGTTGCTAACTTTGTATTGTACTAACTTGGGTTAAATTTATTATCGAACTGGAAGCTATCATTCTCTGATTAGTTCATATATATATCATCTTTTTTTTTGGTAGTCTCATATATATATCATCTAATAAACGTTAAAAGGAAATTAATATTTTAAAAAATTCTATAAAGTAAGTAAAATTACTAACAAAAAGTTTTTGATGAACATTTATTTCTATAAATTATTTATGAATGGAAGGACTCGTTAACATTTGACATGAAGAAATAGTTGTCGTGGGAAAATTGTTATGCGTTTGTTATTTTGTTCTAAGAAAATAAAATAACATTTGACATGAAGATACGTATGTGGAGGAGGGGATCGAACTTGGTCAGAGTGAAATTATGACACTGTGATTGTTCAAAAAAAAAAAAAAATTATGAAACTGTGGCAGTTTTTTATTTTTGTTGTTTACCAAATTAAACATTGGTGTATTTGGTCAGGCCACGTGAAAAGTTTCATTTTTATATCAATATAAAATCTTATCACGATCGTGTCACATACATGTTGGATGTCCAACAATGGTGGTGAAGATAAATGATCTTCGATTGTTCAACTAACTATTAAATTAGTTTGCCACGTGAAAAGATCTCAAAGTCGCATTTCCAAACAACAAAAAGGTATTTATAAATTTCATCTATTCAGATCTGCCAGTAACCAAATCTCTAATCCTAGAGATTTCTGTTGTCTTGTTTAAATACTATTTAAATTACTTTTCAGCGTGTAAAAGTTTGAACATTATGATATTACGTCTTGTTTAAATACTATTTAAATTACTTTTCAGCGTGTAAAAGTTTGAACATTATGATATTACGTACAATTACAGTTGATCAAAATACAACTGTCGTGCATGGTAAAAAACTAGAAACGGCAACACGATTCCAAAATGAGATCACGTATGTATTAAGTTTGATGAAATGTGTAACTCTCGATCCAAAGACGACCTCGTTTCTGTCACTCGAAATTTTAGTACAATATATATATATATATATATATATATATATATATATTTTTTTTTTTTTTTTGTTAAATGATTATAATTTTTTGTTGCATTGAATTACAAGATATCAAATAACAGAAAATGACAAGATCTATAAATTTTGGACGTGGGAAAGCTAGAATGCCTTAGATTCATATGTAAAAGACACATTCGGGTCCCTCACAGAAAAAGACGTGCTCAATCCAAAGTATTATTTTCTTTCCACCTTCTGAAAATTATCCAAAGTTTGTTGTTCAATTTCGGAATGAATTTTCCGATCCGATATCCTGAATTTTCCATTCCATATTTTGTTAACATAAGTATCTCCTATATATGTTAATTTGTTTTATTTAGTATTTAAATTTATTAAATTACTTTATCTGTTTTACAAAAAGTGTCATTTTAACATATTTCATATAAATTAAGAAAATCACTAAAACTTTTGTTTTATCTTTTATTCATACATAAAATAATATTTTTTCTAATTAAAACATTAAATTAATAAGATCAAAACTGTGTTTTTATTTTAAATTCTGCATTAAAAATATAGAGTGGTAGTTTTTATAAAACGAAAAGACTATTAAATTTTATCTTTATATAATCTAAATGATCTGATATTTGTTTCAAAGTCGAATCTAACTCAGTATTTGTCAGAATTTTAATAGTAAATTTAGTTGATAAACTTTTACAACACTACTCGATACTCAATTAAATCTCATGTCAAATACTTTATTTATTTTGGATAATACTTTTCAATATTAGACATATACTCTTTTTCATTTTCACCGATTTTTTTATCTTGATAAATGAAATGGACAACCCTAATATGTTAAGTCTATAAAATATAATAGAAACAAATGAACACATATTTCTTTTTATAATACATTTTACAAAATCCGAACTTACCCCGTGAAAATGGGTAAGTTTTTCCAACAGTTATATATTCAACAACTTTTGCTATGAGTGGCTGTGGTTTTTACTTTAAGAGGCAACTAATAAAGTTGAGAATGAGAATTGAGAAGACGACATTGCTAGTTTTGTTTTGGTTTCACCAATCAAAGATAAAAAGTTAGGAAAATATTGTTTTCCAAACAAAAGTTAGGAAAATATTCTCTTGTGGGAAGAAAAAGTGAGAATGTCTCAAAAAGACCAATACACATGTATTATTGGACTTTCTGATTCTATGAATAAGATTCAAGAAGACCTGAAAAAGAAGAAACTTAATCAAA